CCCGCATCCCTGAGCCAGCAACCAGCCCAAGGCAACGTCAACACCGTGCGGCGTGGCCAAAACACTGCAAACCCCTCGTCGCATTTGCATTCACGGCTGCATGGTTGGGTGAAACACTGCGATCAATCTCCCTCGCCCCCATCGCTGCCGTGTGTGCATTTCAGTCGCTCGGCTACGCTTCAAACATCACGCGAATCAGGCGCTCAGACGGTCTATTGCCCCCGCGGGTCCTGTGGACTCCGCCCGCCCCTGGTCACGAACCCCGTATTCCAACCCACTCTGCTACCAACCTGTGCTCACACTCTCTTCCTGGTGCCCTCCGTCTCACCCCGTCACTCGTTTTCGGCGCTTCTCATTCCTAATCGATACCACCTGTAACCTGTCCATCTTTCGTCATCCACTACCTCCCGAAACTCTGCTTTGACTACCATACACTCTGTCGATCCACGAACAGGGCCTCCTGAACCTTTTCCAGCCCTTCTACGCAGCTGCGGGTCATCACTGTACCCGTTGTACGACATTGCGCCGCCATGCGTCCCTCAACAGGCATCATAGGCCTGCTGCTCATAGCCGCTCCGACTGTGCTTGCTCAGGGCAACAACGCACCTAACGCACCCAACGCGCCCAACGCACCCGCCGATGGGACAACCACGACGCAACCAAGTAATACTGCTGCAACGACAGTACCTACGGAACGGCCCACAGAGGCTACAACAACGACAGCCAATGACCGGACTACACAGACGACCGCGAACACACAAACCGCTACTTCCGCGACTACCGAGGCGGCGTCAACAACGCAAACCGAAACAGGATCGAGAAGTGTCTTCAATCTTGCCGGAGCTCCCACACTTGCCGGTGTTGGTGTTCCTATCCCCAAGATCCCAGACACGTCCGGGGCAGCGTTTATGCAGAAATCGAATCTCCCTGATGGAACGGTTTTCATCTGTGTCGGTGCTATTCTCGCCTTTTTTGGCGCTGCTTTGATGGCATGGCGTGGCCTTGTTGCCTGGTCACTACATCGCTCCGTCAAGCGTGCAGCACTGAGCCAAAACATGACTGATGTCAAGTCCATGGGAGCCATGCCTCCTAACAAGCGGGGGATGTACAACGTTGTAGGTGCAAACTCTACCATGTCTCTGGATCGCTTAAATGCCGCACCAATTGGCAAGTCCGCAAAGCCCTTTGCGGGCCCTCCCACCAGTTCATCCCAGAGGCCTGTGTCTACTCTCTTCTTCTCTCCTACTGCTGGTGGCGCCGCTGGAATACGGGATTCAGTAGCCAACCGCTCTTCGGCCTACCTTCCTGCCGGATACTATGCCTCTGGCACCTCAGCGCCTGCTTCCGGATCACCTCAAATGCACGTAGGCGGCCAAAACTTCAACAACCTGTCTGCACAGTCTCTTTCAACCCCAGGAAACCGCTTCAGCGCAAGATCTGGCACTTCGCCTCCAGAGTCACCCTCATTGCCGCCTTCTCGCGGAGGATACCCACGTGCACCTCCATCCCGGGAAAGCCTCTCCGTGTACAAGCGCAGCAGCGTTGCTACCCTCACCACTCCTGGAAACACACGGAGCGGTGTCTTTGGCCAAGACAACAACCCCAGCCAGTTATCCCTCAACGTACCAGGAGGCACAAACGTCCCTGGTGGCCGCACCCCCAGCGGCTACCTCGAAGACTTGTTTGAACACCATGGCACTAACGGCAACAACGGAGCCGAACGATTCTAGCGGGATCTCGAGCAGCAGCCGACGAGGCATCGCGTGCCCAGTGACAGCATCACAGTGCTGCCCCGCCGTTCGTCGAGCGTGTACCGTCTTGCCTCTGTGGCACGCATAGAGCAACTGAGGCCTTGGTTTTCTTTATCAACATCGTCAATGTGGGAGTATTATCGTCTTCGATAGAGAACAGAAGAAAAAGAAGAGAGAGAGAGAAAGAAAAGGAACGGAGCGGGCGGGGTGTGTGGCGTGTGTGTGTTGAGTTTAAGAGAGTGTGAGAAGCAGGGTTCGGAAGAAAAAAAGGGAGCAAGAAAACACGCCCACATTGTAACCGCTTCGCGTTCTCGTCCTTTTTCGTTGGCCCTTGTTGAGGGGTGGCGCTTATTAACGTCGTACTTTGATCGCGCGTGCATATCCCCGTTATCGTGTTTTTTTACCCCGGGTGGTTAGACATGGAAAGGGGTCCTTGTTCCTGTTCCCTGTCTGTTCCCCCAGCTCTCCCCCCGCCCCCCCGTTTGTGATACCTTGTACCAATTTGTTGCTTCGTTTCTTTTTCAACCCTTTTCTTCATCTCTATTTGCTTTTTGGGATCCCTACCCCAGTCCGCTCATGCTGTGTTACACTGCACCCCCTCGATGTAATGCATACAAAGTGTAATGGTTGGGACGTTGGTACTGTAGCCGTACCCGATCGGGGTGCCGATTAGGCAGACATGGGGTGATTGCCTTTTTTTTACTTATATCTTTTTATTATTATGCATCTACATTCTTTGGGTAGTGGTTGTGTTTTCCTGTTGGGAGGTTGAGAAGTGAGCTAGTTGTGTTGAGGAGCGTTGGAGGCGGTAGGGGAGAAAAGAGAGGAGAGCCATGGACGTTGTACTACGTTCTTGGCATTACGGTGAGTAATAAAATGGAACAGTAACGATAGCCAAGAAGAAAAATTGAACTGGGAAGAAGAATCGGCAAAGACGTTTGATGCGGTTGGACAAGAAATAATCAGAGTATTTGAGGAAAATTTTGAGTTACGAAGCACATTGTTTATCTAGTCTATCACTCATGTTGTACATGCAACTTTGCCAAATTCCAGATGCCTGTACACGCGCCTGCACCCCTTTTTTGTCTACCGACCCATCATGCATGCGTAGATCTCTACATGTTTTTGGAAACCCATCACATGCAAAGTAGTATTGGATGTGCAAGAATGCAAGTGACTACCTTGCCCTCTTGGCCATAGCTTTACGCTTCCTTGCCTCGCCGTTGAGGTTGGGCGCCGTGGCATTCTGGATAGCAGCTTCATCTTCAGGAAGGTCAGATGAGTCGAGGAGGGGCTCGTCAAGGAGTTCCTTCTTGCCCAGGACACGTCCGACAGACTGGTTGTAGGCGAACTTGGGGAGCTTGAAGAGGAGGGTGTCGTAGATGGTGGGCTTGGGTTCCTCGTTGGGCTGGGATATCGTTAGTCTACACATGTACTATTAATTCAAGGGGAGAGGTGTGCATATACATCAATGAGGAATTCACCCTTTTGGCCATCCTCAGTCTCGTGTTCCAAGAAGACATTGCCGACAGAGTCGACGACGAGAATCTTGCCGTTTTCGGCCACGATGCGCTTCTTGGCTCCTTGGGGACCGGAAACAACCTCTGGCTCGACAGGAGCGCTGACGCCTTCGGTGCGTGCCTTTCTCACAGCTTGGACCTTCTTGGGCTTGCGGGCGTCTTTCTCCATGGCACGTCGCTCACGACGGTTCCTGGGGATTTGCTCATCAGGGGTGTCGTCAGGCGAGTCAGTTTCGAATTGCTGGGCATTGACGGCGGGGGGAGTGTCGTCGATGCCTGGAATACCCTGGAGGCCACTCTCGTCGCCCCACGCAGTCTTGCGTGCTTGTCGGATATACCTCTCAGCAAACTCCCTGCGGCGCTTCCATCCCATAACAAGGGCGAAGTAGTGGAATCCACCACCAAAGACGGTAAGAAGACCCACAATGACAGAACCAAGGCCAGGGCGGAAGCGATCGTAGTAGTATCCGGAGCCCTTCCATGCAGGGAAACCGTTCCTCAAGAAATGATCGTAGCGTTCACGTTCGGGGCCCTGAAGCATCTTGGCAACAACCGACAGCCTCTGGTAGGCGGCCGTGACCTTTTGCACATGAGCCTCTATTTCCCTGTTTGATGGCTGCTTGCCGACAGAGGTTCCCTTCTTCTTGTTCTTCTTCGCATAGTTGGCAACGAATGTCTGACGGGCCTTGTCAGGGTGGAGGTCGCGCGACTTCTTGCGGAAGGCTTTGGTCAATTGGTCCTGCGACGCGTTGGGCTTGACACCGAGGAGATCGTAAAAGGTAACATTTTGGCCCTCGATTTTGGCAACTTCATCACGGAGGCGGAAGATTTCATGGTCTGGCGTCAGCTGTCAGCAAATAGCTTATAAGTTGTTGCAACTGGCTGCACCCATGCGCCTCGTCGCAAATCTGGCCCGAAGCAGGCAATTGAACGCAGGCACAGCTGGATTGACAGAATTAGAAATCCACTCACCTTCTTTAGTCCAGGCAGCGGCGAATGCAGCGAAGATGCACAGCACCAGTGCAAGCACCGCGTGGGATTTCATGGCTGGGGGAGGTTGTGGTGGAACTGCTCGCAGGCGATAGGGAGCAGATGTTCAATAGTCGTGCGGTGAGACCGCTGGGAGAAGGGAACGTGGCCCAATGGCTCTAGGCCTGTAATAAATGAGACAGCGGCGTTGCAGCTCGCTGCAAGGGGATAAATATGCGCTCACTTGTTAGCACTACTCTTGAGATTTCCGCAAAAGTCAAGGTGGCCTCCCATGCTCCAATGAAACCCGCCCATCTCAGAACCGACTAAGGGGGCTGACGGCTCGCTCGGTGGCTTGGGTGAGGGCAGCACGACCCTGAGCCACGGGATTCGCGGCAGGGGCAGGGACAGCCAACAAAAGTTGCCATATCGGCGACGACACCCATTCCACTTCCTTCTACACAGTACACCACACTCTCTTCTCTTCATCCGCCTCTACGCCGGCCGCGTCACCTTCCCCAGCCTCGCGCGACTAATTCTCATCCCGTAAGGCAGCCATTTACTACATTAATTGCCCCTCCTCCCCTTGCACTGAGGACACATCTCCAACCCGTTCTTCTCTTCCCATATCGCCAGCAGCTGACCACGGTTTCGCCTGTAGATTACCAAGCCCAGCAATAGGCCCTTTTTCACTTCCGACGACTATTTTCAGACACCACCACCCACCTTCCACCCACCTCACAACTATACACCCTCCACCATGTCGCGTTTCAGCATTCCCATCGATGCGCTAACCTCGCGGATGAACTTTGGCGGTCGCTTTGACAGCCTGCGCTCCACGTCGGTCTCGTCGCGCTTCGCCAATTTGCGACCCATTAGCGAGTTTTTCGATGTCAAGCGCATGTCCAAGCCCGCCAACTTTGGCGAAGTTCAGAGCAGAGTCAACTACAACTTGGGCTACTTCTCAAGCAACTATGCCGCTGTCTTCGTCATGCTCAGTATATACAGTTTGCTCACCAACTTGATGCTCCTTTTTGTCATCTGTCTGGTTGTCGGAGGCATGTACGGTATCGGCAAGCTCGAGGGCAATGATCTCGAACTTGGCAGCTGGCGCGCAACCACTTCTCAACTATACACCACGCTGTTCGTTATTGCAATTCCTCTCGGTCTCTGGGCCTCACCCTTCACCACTGTTCTCTGGCTCATCGGAGCGACTGGTGTGACTGTCGTGGGCCACGCCGCATTCATGGACAAGCCAATCGAGTCAGCTTTTTCCGAGGAGGCGGTCTAGGTGGTCGGCCGCGAACTCCTTACACTATGCCCCACTGGGGAAGACCACCAGGGGGCTCGTCGGGTGTGGGGAGATACTTTGAGGGGGTGGACGACGTGCATAGATTTCAAGAATTGTCAAGCGATGATGAGAATGGTGGTGTTACAATAGACGGGGCGTTTGAACCGGCATTGAGTGGCAAGAAGATTGATCCAGATGAGCTATACTTTAATGATATGGATATTAGAGCGTGGGAGAGGAGGACATCAGCTTTAGCGGAACCTACGCACGGGCCTGTGCATGGTTATCGAGGTTATCATGAAGAGTACTTTGGCGGACCGGGCGAAACGATCAACCCGGCCGAAGTGGAAGAGATGCTTTTTCGGCGGGTACTTGACAAGATCCGCGTAGCCAGGGCAGCAGGGAATACAGATGTTTCACTCAGTGCGGAAGAACTCGACGCATATCAATCACGACTCTATGGTGCACGAGCCCCTGCGGTACGTCCCGAGCCGCAGCCTCGACCTGGCAGTGCTTCGTCACCCAACGATACCGCTAGTGTTTTGAGCTACGATGCGACTGGGAAGCATGATGCTTTGTCACGTTCAAAGAAGAGCCAGCAGCGAACGTCGATGCTCGGCTCCAAGTCCAAGAAGGAAAAGCGGCCAAGTGCGCACAAACGTACGTCGACTGCATCCACGACAGAAAGTCATGCGATGCCGCCAGGCTTCGTTGTGCCTGGTCCAGACGGACAACCTACTTATGCACCGATTAATGCATATGAAGGCAGTCTGGTCCGTGGGCAAGGACCTGTGCATCCAGCATCCCGTTCGGCGTCTGATAACGGTCGCCACGTAGCAATGCCTCTGCACCGCGCTCCTTCCATCAATATGCTAGGCTCGTTTCCGGAATCGGTTTATGACTTTCAGCCTGAATCGCCTCCGGTTCTAGACAATCAGACATCATATCGACAGGCGGCCTACGAAGCTGATGTGCCAGCTGACGCCCACGCTAGATCATCGTCTATCCAGTCTGCCCGCCTTGTGCCGTTTCCTGTGGAGCCGTACCAGTATCACAATTTTAGCCCAACTTCGTCTTCATCGCCAACTTCGCCTCAACCGCAATACACTCGAAGTCTCAGCTCGGTGGTTTCGGAGGCCAGTTATGCAACGGTTCCACGGCGTGTCCCCCCGGCTCCTCCTCTAGCACCTGCACCTGTACCGGTACGGCGAGTGGCGGATGTTGTTGTCAATCAGGACGGACGCAGCGATGTAGTAAATCCGGGCACTCAGCCTTCTAGCTCTGCGACTGCTGTGCAAGTCCAAGGAAAGACAAAGGACAGTGGTAGTGGGCACGGAGGTGAGCGACGGCGCAAGGGAGGTAAAAGTAGTAAGAAGAAAGGCTGAGAGTGTGATGATGTTGTGCTGTTACCTCGTCACGAGTCGAATCTTGATTCTCGACAGCTTCCCGATGTGGCGTGTTGGATTCAACTATCCAGTATCTTTGTGAGCATTGGATGACAGCAGACTGGAGTCAGACATAGCCACGTATGTAGTGGGCCCTTTGTAGTCGTGGTGTCCAAGTAACTCTATCTTTTAATTTTCTCCACTACTTGTGTGCTGTCCCGAACAGTCATCCGATTTGAGCGTGCAAACGGCACCAGGGCCGTCTCAAGAGGGCAAAGACAGTATGCAAGAAGGCGTCCATGTACTGGATCGAGGCCCCTGCACGACTTGTTGAATCGCATGTTGCGTATGCTGCATCTGCAACGGTTGGTCTCGAACGTCTGTCTTGCATTTCTGACCCATTCGTGGCACAGGGATGGTGAGCGCGGGCCTGCACAAGCAAAGGATGCACAACGGCGAGGTTTCTTCTTCCCACTGCCATGCGAGGATTTTTTTTCTGTCTTGCCGGTTGTAATCAGGGAAGTGGGACGGACACTCTGGCAGCGTCTTTCTTGTCGTGTACTACTCCATACACTGGCTGTCTAGCGGGTCGTGCATAAGGGTTCACGCACAACATCGCACACGTGCATGTGCACAAGTAGGCCAGATGGCTTCGGCACAAGTCGCCAGCCGGCCCAGTTGGGGGTACCGGGCGGCAACGTACCTGCAGGGATGAACAGTAACGTGAGGCCAAAGAGGCCCCAAGTCAGCAAAGAGCGGTCAGTTAGTCTCTCCAAGCGTGCTGCGAGTCTGCGACGATCATTCCTCCGCTCCACAAGTTCGCGCGCATATCTTTCACCAGCCCGAGCTGTCACCCGTCATCTCGACCAGCCAATTCGTTACCCCAACCGTGCGAACAAGACTGTATTTATGGTCCCTTTGCCGCGTTGACGTGGTCCTTGTCAAGCCATTCACTTCTCCACCTTCTGCGCACGGCCACGCATCTGGTGCCATAGCTTTGTTTGGGCGACGATACATACATATAGGGCTGTCACCGATTGTTCTTGTCTGCTCGCCTCGTAAAAAAACGGGGCTAGCTAGCTAAGCCGAACCGACCGCCTAAGAGCCCGACATCAGATTGGGCAACAGAAACGAGGCAAAGAAGAAAAGGCCAGTACAAACAACAGAGAAAGAGACCGACAGGATTGATTGAAGCCCAAAAGAGACCCACTTTCTTCACCGGCATTACCGCTGTCTTTTGAAACAAGGCCGCCGTCTAAAGGCTTTTAGTGAATATCTTGCGCTGGCCAACCCGCAACTCTGACAGCAACAACAACCACCAATATCAAAAACAGTCATACTTGCAGTTGTTTCACAAAAGGCATCGCCACATCTGGGCCAATCCGTCCCATCACAATCGGTCACTACTGCACCTGAATGCGCTGGGCCGACAATTACACTTTACAGCACCGCATTCCGCCTTCGGTTGCTCGCGCGCACGCCTCTACTAAACAAGGTCCCGCATCCACAAAAGGCGCTTTGCCACTCACTGCCTGTCTCCGACCAAAACCAATCCTCCTTCTTCCTGCACCTGCATCCTCATCCTCATCCTCGAATACTCCCATCTTGACCCCGGGTTCCAACAATTCCAAGCACCCACGCGCCACCACCATGGGCAGCAGCTGGAACCCCTTTTCCGTGTCGCCCAACCGGCGCTCGTCGTCCTACCGCCCGGGCTATGCCTCCTCGTCGTACTCGTCGTCGTCGCGCCACCACAGCTCGACATCGCGATACAAGCGCTCACCCCGCGACAACTACATGCAGCACCTGTACAAGAAGCTACAGCACTTCCTGCGCGAAATCTGGCGCTATGCCCAGCGCCACCCTTACAAAGTCTTCTTCATGATCATCATGCCCCTCGTCTCCGGCGGCGTGCTACACAAGCTCGCCCGCCAATTCGGCGTCAATCTCCCCCAAGCGGGCAACAACAACCCCCAGCACCGCGGTAGCTCCGCCGGCGGATACTACGGCAGCCAAGGCTACGGCCGCGACACATATACCTCTTCTTCCTCCTCCCGACGGAGCGCCCCCGCTCCTGCCAACGGCGGCGGCGGCATGATGGCCAGCCTGCAAAACATAGACATGGACAAGGTGGCTGGCGGCATCGGCGGCCTGGCAACCATAGCGAGTATGGCGTCTAAATTCGTCTAAAATAGACGTTTTTTTCTTTTCCAGCAGGAGATGAAGGGTTAACCAATTTTTTTCTTCTCAATCTAGGAACCGCAGAGAATATCTTTACCATTGCCAGAGTCGTTGGCAGCTTGTCGAGGGGTGATATGGGCTCGTTTTGACCTAAACGAGGAAGAGCTAGGGAGAATGCTGCGAAAGAGATGGATGGGGGTGTTGGGAAGGATAAAAAGAGCACGGGAAAGAGATTTGGGGGGGATTATACGTATACGTGTGTTGTACGACTTTATGACGGATTACGATTTGGAAAGTTTTGTATTTTGGTTGGATCTATCTAGATTCATATTTTCCTTGGTTCTACTTCCTGTTTCTTATTTTTGGAAATATCGCTTGTTCGTTCGTTTCTTTGGTTGTTTAAAGCCCTTTTTTTGACTTTTAGAGATATCCCTCCCTTGTGGATAGGTAAGCCTTGGGCTTTTATCCTACTTTCACGAGGCGCAATTGCAAAATCATTCAACTTCGTTCTTTAGTTTGACACGCTTGTCTATAAGATGACACTTCCTGCCCCCCACCCCCCAAGTTCAGAGATGCCCCCCAATGATATCAAAACGTTATATCGTATTCGTATCCCAAACCCAACCTAAGAACAAATATGAGAAAGAAAAAAGGTCCGAAATCATTTCCCCTTCTCCAAGATATCCCATCGTCATCTAATCATCATAACCTTAGGCTCACTCATCTCGTGCCCAAAGCCTTCGAGCAGCCCAATCTCGTAATCTCCCACCCCAACCACTCCCCCCTTAGGCAGAAACCACATTAGCAAACACTTTAGCGGCAAGACTACTCAACAGCCTCGCCTTATCCGCCTGCGGCATCTCCTGAAAGACCGCATAGACACTCTTCCCCTTAGCATCCCTAACCGCGCCCAATCGATTCCCCGCGACAGCCCCGGCAACCATACCGGGAAAATTGGCAACAATGAATCCCATGGCGCCACCACTGAGTCCGCCGACTAAACTCCAGAACTTGCCTGTAGGATGGGCCTCTGCATCCGCCATACCCTCTTCGCGCAGCATCTCCTCAAAGATGCCGCCGAACTGCTCTTCGGAGAAGCGGTTGTGCGATTCTTCCGTTGTGCCTGCTGGCGCGGACCCAAAGCCGAATGCGGACCAGGGGAAGCCTTGGGCGAATCCTGTACCGGCACCCGCGTTGGCATTGGCATCGTGAGGTATCTCCTCGTCAAACTCCGGGTCGGGCGTTGCGGTGGTGCCTGTGAAGCTGTTGTATGTGCGTGCGGCGTCGTAGTCGCGGCGGCGCGTGGTGTCCGAGAGCGTGTAGTATGCGTCGTTGATTTGCTGGAAGCGCTTTGTGCGACTTGCGCGCTCGGGTGAGTCCGAGGGCACGCGGTCTGGGTGGTGCTTTAGTGCTGCTCTGGTGAGGTGCACATGACTTGTTAGAAAGTGGACGTCTTCTTAACGTGTGAGTGTAGTAGAGGCATTGGTTTACTTTTTGTAGGCATCGCGGATTTGCTGTTGCGAGGCTTTGACGTCGATTTCGAGGACTTTGTCTGAGTTTTTGTGTGAGATTGCTGTTATATGGGATGGCTTCGTGTGAGTGGCTTACAGTAGTCTACTGAAGATGCTGTGGAGTGTTAGCTGAAGGCCTGCCCGTTAGGCTGCTGTGAAGCTCACCCATGATGCAAAAGGGCTTGATCGACCGAAATCTAGAGATACGGCTGTCTAGAACTTAGGTACGGAGTAACTTCGAGTGGGGCGTCAGGTAGACTTATTGGTATGAAGGAGTGATAGGTGGTAACGTGGCGCATGGTGGGAGTCAAGATTCAGGTACGCGGGTTCAGATAGCAATGACGTAGACGCGAACTTGACCCACGTTCGCACGTGAAGCAACCACTTTGTAACTGCGCCTTCCCAAAAAGACCCGCATATATTATTAAGTCGCGTAATTAATACTGGCCTGAACTAGTCGAACAAGAGATATGAAATAAAAATGTCCAGCACACAAGGCTACAGAGAAGACAGTTCGTCCCCAGCTACTAGCTACCAGCTACCAAGATGCCAACATTACACACACTACATAAACGTGGCATTCAGAACAACCACTTTCTTATACACAGACTCAATTACAATGAAATGGCAATTATGATCATAGGTAATGTGGCGCCGCTCTTACCCACCAGGTATCATACAACAAGCCAGTCTCCCCAAACCTTCCAGCACAACCCGAAACACTCGTTCGATATATCCAATATTAACTTTCCTCCAAAATTAGAACAAAACATGCTATTTTAGCTGTACATCAATGTCATGCAATCTAGCAAGCATGTTCAACGTCGGAAGCTAGAGCTCAGTCCAGAAAAGGCATCAGGCGAATGGCGTCCACCCATTAGTCCAGAAAAATCCACACTCTCATTGCTAACATGTCTCACACCCGGTGTCTGTGCAGCTGACAAAGCTTGGCCTTGGGGCGCAGCAGACATGCTAGCAAATGGATTCGACTGGCCGGGTGCTTGCGTGGCTGGTGCGGCGGGCACTGGAGCCTGTGCACCTGATGGTTGAACTTGTTGCTGTGCTGGCTGCTGAGATGTCGCCTGTGGTTGGTTGTACAAGGAGAGAATCGAAGCGTTCTTATCAAATGGGTTGGAACTTTGTTGATGGTACAACTGTTGTTGATTCTGGAAGCTTTGCTGCTGGTTCTGGTAATTTTGAACAGGGGTCTGGGCTTGGTAACTAGATTGACTTTGCCAAGGGTTTGCTGGCTGAGTTGAAACTTGACTTTGTTGTTGTTGTTGTTGTTGTAGCTGCTGCTGCTGCTGTTGGTGCTGTTGTTGTTGTTGCGACCATGGGTTGGGCATTTGCTGCTGAGGTATAACTGACTGTGGCTGCGTTACCTGCTGCTGGAAGGGCGATTGTCCGAAAGGATTCGAGTTTGCGATATTAGTCGATGTGAATATTTGGCTTTGAGACGACTTTAGGAAGGGGTTTCCTGGACTCGATGGGCTGGACATGGACTGGTATTGCGGTTGTTGTGGTGCAATGAATGAGTTGTACTGCTCAGGTACCTGTGGCATAGAGGGTTGCGTGAAAGGTTGGAGATATGGGTTCGTTTGAGCGTACGAGGTTTGTGAATGTCCATAACCGCCAGTTCGGTTTGGAAACAAGGGTTGTTGAGGCTGTAAACTCGAGACTTGCATACCTTGGAAAGATTGCTCAAGGCTCTGCTGCTGCTGTTGCTGTTCCCAGGGATTCGGCATGTATCCAACGCTTTGCTGTCGTTGCTGCTGCTGGGGAGCCTGTTGCTGGGTGTAACCTTGGGATGCCTGTGATAAGAATGGATTGTAGGAATTTGAAGGATATGACTGCTGTCCTTGAGCTCCTCCATAAAATGCCTGCTGTTGAGGAGCCTGCGCTTGTGCATCTAGAGCATCAAAGGGATTTGTGGACGATGAGGTGGCGGGTGCAGTGCCGAAAGATAGGCCGTTGGCCACGGGCTTTGTAGGCGGAGTTGGTGTGGTACTTCTTGATTTGACAGGATTTTGTTCGCCCAGTCGGATCAGAGCCTCGACTGCTCGATCGAGGTTCCCATTCAGACCCTTTAGTACAGTGGAGTTGCGCTTCTCATCTGGAAAGCCCATGTCCCGCAGTGTGGCTAATTTGGAGTCCATGCCGTCGCCTGATGTATGTACATTGGAGCCAAACACGCGGGAAGGCTTGTTTACTCGGGGCGGTGACAAATCCTGTCGGAATTCTTCGAGGCCCGGGGAGATGGGAGGCGTTATGTTGCGCGGCGAAGTTGCGGCTTTGCGCAGCCCGAATCCAAAGCGACCACTTGGCTTCGGCGGTAATGGCGGCGGTCGGTCTTCTGAGCTCGTGCTACCCGTGTTTTGTCGTGTGCCTGGCCGTGAATCGTTGAGGTATATTCTCTGCTCGTACTTTGCCCTGATGTACCGTTCCATAGCGCCATCTACCTCATCGATGTCGATAGGTATTTGCGGCTTGACGTTACGGGGGTTGTATGTCTTGTTGGACTCGACATTGCCGATGCGCTTCATGTTCTACAACATTGATCAGTACCCAGATAGCCATACTGCGTGGCGCGTCTCTTACATCAACTTGGGCATTGTCCCACTTGTCCATGCTGAGCGACTTGACTTTGGAAATGTGCGTGCCCAGCTTGCGATGCAAGGCTGCGCATCGCATGCACAGGAAGATGCCCAGCTACAGCACATGTCAGCGTCCGGTTCGTAGTCGGGAGATGGGTGTCGGGCCAAGGAATGTGGGAAACTTACGCTCCAGCTTGCCCATCCTGCGTAGCCGTTGTTAGCGTGTGCGTGTAATGAGATGCGCCTGGGGATTGCATACCTGGATTGCGCGCGCCACAGTCTGCGCAGTTTCCATTTCCAGGAACGGACTTGATGAGTTCCTGTAATGTACGCTCGTTACGCGCCTGCTGGCGTTTGTTCAGGGCAGACGCCATGTCGTGTCGAGAGAGGAAGCGGTTGGGCGTCGGAAGTCGAGTCGGGAGATCGGTTGAAGGTGCACGGGAGCAATGCGCGGGGAGAAAGGGGGCTCGAGGGACGGCAGGTGGCGCGTTGGTAAGATGACTATGCGAAAAAAGACGTTTCCATGGCAAAGGTGGACATGAGCAGAGAAGGGGCAGACGGTGAAGGGGCACTTAGTTCAAACGCAATGACGAGTAGCCCATCTGTTCCATCTTCACACATGGCATCCCGCAGAGCTCCAGAACCCTGCGTCTCGGCGGCTCGGGCTATATACAGCACCACGCCCCTGTCTGAGCTTTGCTACACTCCACCAGAGGCGTCGTCATGGCCACACGAATGGGCGATCAGCTACGGGCAGCCCAGAGACGATTTGGCCACGCGACAAACACCTTGGTGGATGGCATTGGACACGACCTGCGTACTTGGGCTTCTCCCAAGCCGCCGATGCTGCCGACACGCAATGCAAAGGCCTGTTAGTTGCTGATGGATTATTACAAGACACGCCTGCAGACTCAATGCTAATCTCCCGCTCTTCTGGGCCAGCAGCACATATGTATGTATGTATGTATGTACATAGACTTTCCGTGGTGGCAAGTCCATTACGCGGCTGGCACACGACATGTGTTTACATTGGTGCATGATGCATCGTCTAGTATGTTGTACTCTAACGGAGCTCAAGCACGTAGGTATGTATGGTCACGCAGGTGGCTTCAAGCAGCATTGAAAAGGATGCAAAAAGCCTAAAAGTGCCGGGTTCCTCTAAGACGCAAATATGACAACTATAGAGATTGCAAGCTCGTTATAGCCGTTGATTAATCGTCCATTTGTATGATTGTGTGTAAAGAAGGAAAGGCGAGTCGGAGCTGCAGTGAGAATTTCAACGGCACACTGCCAAGACCGATGACAAAGCACATGGCCCGAGCGCAGTGGCTTTTTCCCACGTCAAAAAAACCGCTGCTGTCTCTTCTACCTCCCAACAACAGCTGCGTGTACCGCGAGCAGCACGTGCTTCCCATGACCAACGATTCGTGTCTGTCGTTTGGCGAAGCGCTGCTGCTCTACACAGCCCATGCTGTCAAGCCACCATTGCCTGCTCCCAGGTTCAGCTCTCTATGGCCTGGAAGCAACATTTTCTCTCGGTGGAAGATTAATATTGGTTTTTAGCAGAGCCGTGTCTTCTCCACCCTACCCATTGCCGTCTTCTAGATGTGTAGGACTATATTTTGACATACATTCCCTTCCCGAATTGCGTCCTGTGTCAAATTGAGCGTGCACCGGCCACGGGCTGGTCAGCTATCCAAGCACACGCTCGTCTGTATCCAGGCTGCCCATACCACACTCAACCCCACTGAGCAGGTTGTAAGCCGCCAAAGGGAAAGCTTCGGGCGACTGCAAAATCAAGTGCGCTTGATGCGGCTATGGTCTCTAGTGTTCTCAATACAAATGGCCAAATAGACTTGTCCATGCCTGTACACAGCACATGTACCATCAATGGTCTGGTTTGCTGACTGTACACACGTGATCATGCCATCTTGTGGAAGCGTATGCGAACCAACCGTACCGTCAACAGCGGAAGTGAGTCCAAAGGATCCGCCACGTTGACGGCACGGCAGACGCCGCCTTCGGCCAGTCCAGACATATCGAGCTCAGTATCAGAAAAAATAGACACGGCATCTTCACCACAACGGCATCTCACCTTCCCAACAACGGCAAGCCAACGTCCACAATGTGGGCCGATGCACAGTAGCATGGCGACCAGGGCGGTCAGGAAACCCTTGAGCCTGGTGGTTTACCACAGACGGTCGAATCAGAAAAGATTACACTTGCCTAGCCGACCTTATTAGGCTTAGCGAGCCAGATTCCGACCGCAGCTTCCACCATGCCTACCCATCGCCGACTGTTCGCTCCTTCCATACAGGGCCTTGTGCCTTGCTATGACCTCGCACCGAACAGACTGCCTTCGGTCTCCTATGACGGTCTTTCTTGCCATAGGCTCCACTCGATTATTACTTCACAGCAATCACGTCGGCAGCAAAACCAGTGGCAGTTGTATGGCCTACCACATGAACCTGCCAACATCCTGAAGTGCTCTCAAAAAAACAAAAAAGAGAACACTGCGAATGACGGCAATTACTTCTCTTGTGTTACAACGTCCCTGAGCTGAGTTTTGGCAATACAGTCAGCTAGGGGCAATATAGAGACACGAGCAAACCCAACATTTCGGCCCCAGTGAGCCTGAGGCTGAGACACTGCGCATCTTCAGGTGTCACTCGATTCACGCGTCGACCGGTAATGATGCAGTATTGGATGGACATCTACTTTTGATTGGCTACACGTCGAATATCTTGTACGGATGTACCAATAGCATGCTTTCATCTACTCGATCGTCATTCCACTGCGGACTTGAGCACAGGCTCTCATGTACGATGTTCCCCAGTTCCCCTACTAGCCGGACGCACTATCCGGGCTGCAATGGCATGGTCAGCTTCCACGATGACAACCCCTGTCCATGCAATTGTGCCGTAATACCTGGCGAGCAGCCTTGCTATCCACAGTGCTGGATTCTAAAGTCTGCCGCCATCTCTCGCAGATCGTCCCCTTTCAAGCACGTAGTACTTTCCGCTAGCTTACCCTATTTCCCAAAGCCGTCAAAGTTCCTAGCTTTACAGCAAGCGAAGGATGCTGATGTCTTGTATCGTCTCAAACACTATGATGCCAACCCCACCCTACACCTAAAGTGTAGTTGTATCGGCACCGGGCGACAGCATAAATACTAATCCTGCGCCCCAGTTCTAGAGCGCACCAAATGATACTTCACCAGGCCCGACCGCTCAAAGCACCATTCCACATTCAATACAAACTCATCCAGTCCTTTTCTGTTTACCAATTCTTGTGTCTCAAACGAGGGCAATAACAATCCAGTCTAAAGTTTTTGGTAGAGAAAACCTCAGTTCATGTGTAGAATTTCAACGCTCCCACTGTAAGCATAGATGGCTTGAAGAAGCACGCTGAAACTTACCGTCGAGATAGACTTGTACCGTTTAGTAGAAATATCCCATTGCTGCGAACCACTTCGACAACCTAGGGTCATACTGTATCACTTCATTCATGTGTGCTGAGGACGTGTATCGTAACCAGCGGGGCAGCCCGCAACAACCAGTATCATCCACCAAGGAATCATCTATGTATAGTGGGCAAACCTCAGAAACTGACAAGAACGATTGGTCCGACGTCAGTGACCGCAGTGAGCGACGAAAGATACAAAACAAACTGGCTCAAAGAAGATTCCGTTAGTAATATGCTCCAGCCTCAATTGCTTGAGCTAAAGGTAGTGAAGGTGACAGGGTAAGGGAGCAGAGGGAGGAGGCCGAACGTGAAGAAGAGAACCAACGAAAAGCCGGAGCCTCATATGCACAACCAAAGCCGGAGGAAATTGATACCGACCATAGTCTTTCAGGGCTACCCTGGGGTGGCATTTCGATGAAACATATGGTCGAACAAGGAAAGCAAAGACGTCGAGGCTCACAAAAAGACGTGAATAATGGATCCACCCATCACAATGCATCATCCGTCGAGGAAAATAGCAGTAAGTGATGATATGGTATGACCACAATTTTGTTCAGTGTTCAGGTATACTGACTTTTTAGGGTGGACCTTCCTTTAAAGCAGAAAAGGCAAACGCATATCGATCTGATCAACCCGGAACGACGGCATAGACTCAGGGATCCAGAGCTCTTAGTGTTCTGTGGCACCACTTTTTTCCCGCTGTAAGCGCGAGGCCCAAGTCATGGGTGCTTTTGGGGGTGTCGTGGTGTCACTACCAAGTATTGAAAGCATTTGATAATGCCCGCAGATCGCCAACTGCTTCTCCACCAACACACTTACTACACCAAACAGTTTTGGGGGCTTGTCTCAATTCGGGGCTCACATCAATCACTGCTCGGTCATCGTTGTTGTTGTTCGGGGGGCTGTTCCGCTTCGCTCACACGCGCGGCGGTTACTCGAAACCTCTGAATGGCCCACTCCGGATTTTCTCATGCAAGAGGCGCAAGTTTGCCCCGCCTCTTTTAATTAAAAACGTTGCTGAAGACCAAGTGCAAAACGTGATAGAATGTGTCTTATGTTGGAATTCGTGGATCTGCCATAGCCTGAGGTACGAACGGTCAGCGTGCTTTGACGAACATGGACCACTTAATCCTTGGTAATCCGCACCACCATTTTCTCATGACAGCCTATGTTCGATGGCTAAGCCCCAATTCTCTTCTAAAATAAACACCATCCAAAGGCCATAGGATGCAGGACGACGGCCTCAGCTCAAGTGGAAGCTTGCAAGCTACCTAGGCCTGCGATGTGCGACCCAAGGCACCCTCAGCGGTGTGGGTGTTGTCGACGTGCGGCACGCATGATATATCCATTAACGTGGTCAGAAGCTTGACCAGAAGCGTATTACTCCTCCCACTTCAGTCAGCCTTATACCAGGCAGAGGTTCAGCTAGCGACTGATGAATGCAGGGGTTCGGTCGTGCCGCGAGGCTGAGCAGAAGCTAGACCTACCTACGTCAGTTTCCAGCTTTCTGCCATTCCAGGTCAGCGCTGCCTGCAAACCCGACAGAGTTCGCTGCCTGGCTTACCACTACGCTGATTATCCGAGACAGCTAGCATCCTCGCATACTGGCCCTCGGTACGTATCCGCGTTTGCATCAATTTGTTGTTCCTGCTGCAAGTTGGATCACGAGCCTCGCCCCCACTGTGGTGCGCGAACATTGTGCCTTGCATTATCACTCCAAGTCAGCCTGCGATAACTGAGCCCGACCATTTAGCGGCATTTTTGAGATGAAGGTACGGCGGCAAAACGAGATAATTGTCTGGACAAGGCAATCCCTCGCTCATCGGCCGCCCTTAATTTAACCATATAGGGAAAAGGCTGTGTCGCTTCGAAGCAAGTAGACCTGGGCAGTACGCCTCTTGATGCGGCGTCATTGGCGCATTACCAGTGTTGTCCATGAAAAAAAGTGGATATTATGAAAGTTATGTTGTCCGGAAACAGACAATTGACGCAACAAAGAGACCAATGTATGCGGACTTGCGGCAAACATCCGTCACCATGCCACCACACTCGCTCCAGTTAGCCAGGCAGAAGTGCGGCGTCGACATCTTCTCTCCTCAACTTCGGCTCTGCACGAGCAAGCCACATCCGCTCCATACGTCTCAACCGCTCTGAGGCACGGATGTGCTCCTCGTTAAGCGCCGTCATGAGATGGACCGTCTTCTCTGCCTACACGATGGATCAGCTAAGGTTGTGGCGTGGAGCCCGGGGATGCCGGGTTGATATATAGTCCATCAACTGGACTTCTAGTATGGAAGCAACCCAATACGAAGACACTCCATGTCAGCAGAGCAATTCTCAAAACTCTCTCTAGGAGGGGACATGGTAACCACTCGTGCCCGGGCTGCAAGGGCAGCGAGAGCCAACTCACAATCGTCTAAATCAGAGCACTCCAATCAAGATCAGCCACTACCATCCGTCGAGCCTACTGCTTCTCCTACACCTTCACTTGTTATATCCACCAAGAATCTACAGTACAATGTCTCGGCTTTCGACAACGACCTGCGTAGAAGAGCGAGGAAGGGACTAGAAGGAAAAGACATCAGAATGAAATACTGTGCCATTTCTGAGGATGGAGAAAGTCCAGATGGAAGCCCTAAGAAGTATTTCTATCTTGATGATGATATCACGGTAGCCATAGGGGGAGAGTTGCGGAGACCGAGATGTTCATGCGGTGCAAACGAAACTGGTATTGCATGCAAGGTATGCTTCTTCATTAACATTCTTCTGAATACCAAACTAAACATTGACTGAAGCACATTTATTGGGTTGGAGACCAGATTATGTCGACTGCCTACGACGATATGGTCAAGACACCTCTTCATCTTTCACCAGACGGCTCCAAGATCGAAGACGTAAAGCCGGATAACATACTGGACGCCAAAGGCCTAGTGAACATTGCCAACGATCTCAAGTGGGTTTATCGAGACGACGAAGTACCTGAAGATGACGAGGATATGAAAGAAGCGATTACTGACATGCTTTCTTGCTTTGCCCCTCAAGAAGAATTGCCTGGCGAATTCAAATGGCCCGAGTCGCCACTGACATCTGAGCGTTCGAAAAAGTACCAAGATCTGGCGGATCTTATTACCGAGCATGCCAACAGAGATGCTAGCTTATATCTTCGGTTGCGTCGGATTATCGATCCAGATTTTGAAAGTCGCGTTTTCTTCGAGAAGGTCGATAACCGTATTGAATCGGCCTTCAATGCATTGGAGGAGTATATTGCCAAGGGCCCGACCACCAATTCATTCCCGGATGCACTCCGTTTCGATGTGCCCAGCTGTGCAAAGAAGCTCAAGGCACTGGTCTGTGCTATTGAAGATTTCTACCAGAATCACTCACATGTTGAAGACGTAGCTGTTCGTGCAGCTGGAGCTCTGATCAAGATCCTCGACCGTGTCACAGACCGCAATGAGAACGCATACGAGAACATCACGTGGGAGTGGGAAGCTCCCTCTGATCCCAATCAGAGCAATCTCTACGTCGCGCTCATTGGAGCCTACGGTGACGGTGACTCACCGTTTGTCCTCGACGCCCTTGGGTCTTTGCCACAAGAGGCCGTGTATCGCAATCATTGGGAAACCCTACAAGACATCGAGAAGAAGCTTACTGAGTCTGACGCCTCGTTGCAGTACATCAATATCTTCCACAACATTGTCTACGAGCCCCGCAAGAGGCCTGGATCCGAGGTTCGTGAGCGAGAACCGAAGAGGGCGATGCAGTAATGTCTGTCGTCTGATCAAGAACTCGATCATTCACGACCATACAAGGAGAATCATTCGTAGGGGTTTTTTTTCTCAAGTGGCGCACCGTTTCACTATTCTTTTCAGCGTAATGGCGTTGGCGGCATACTGCATTTCCCGTACTTTTACCATTCCTTTCTTCTTGTCACTTTCTTGATCAGCTAATTTCTTCTTATCTTTCCCTATCAGTTGACGACCGTTTTCAGTCACGGTTTCATCACACTGCCTTACTCTTCTGAGGGTCGCCTGACTTTGGTCTGTCTTTGCAACATCATTTTCCCCACTTCCCCTCCCCCTCTCTTTCTCACCAACTGACTTCGGCATGCGAGCCCGCCGAATGATTTAACCTTTATTTCATGTTCTCTTCTTTTCCCTTCTCTTCTATCCTTAACCCTTTCTGGATGCTCACCAGTACACACTTTTTCGGCTGCTCACCCGGCCACTCTTCTTGGGATTTAATTCACTTCTTACCCTCTTTGTATATGTATTTTGAGCAAATAAGATTTAGCCCCGATTTAGCGGAACCTATTCTTATCACAACCCCGTTAAGACAACAAGAAGCAAGTGATTGGCCAGATAGCTTAACCTTGCCGTCTCAGAGTATTGGTGATGTAAGTGTGAAACTCGATATCGACTAATGTCGAACAACGCTATGTTCCGTCTAGGCCATGACCATCAGCTGAGTCCAGGCCCCCTCAACCATTACAGAGCCAAACTGCGACGTCGAGAGCGGCTCCAGGGGGTTAGTTGTTCGCCCGGCTACAATTATCTCTGCAGCAATGCCGAGCCACGCAATGTGGAGCTGATGCAGCCCATGACAGAGCATCATGCATGGTCAAGACGAAGGCTGAAGTTTATGCAGTGCCGGCAGGATGAATTACAGCACCCTGCAAGGCGCTGTGTCAGACGGCTTTATACACCTGTAGACATCATAAAGCACTGTCAACTAAAGCATTACCTCTGCCCGTATGTGAGAGGTCAGCGTTCGATGATGAGCAGGCCAGGAGAATCGGCGCTGGACTTCTACAAGAGCCAATCGTTGGAGACCCATCATGTGTAGTAGAACTACTTCGTCATGGGTATATGTAAGTCGCCGGCTAATCCGGTTTGCCAACGTCGTAGTGCACACTAGGAGTACACACCCTTCCACAAGCGTAATTCTCTTTGTTGTACGCTCATTGTGTGAAAGGGGAAGCCAATACGTTAGCCAATGCCGCAATATGCAATACTCCCTATCTTGCAGAACTCTTGACGACAAGATGTGGAGTTTATACACCCCAGCTACTCATTTCGACGGCTTGATCCTTGTTGCTGGCCCCCCGCAGTAAGCGATGTAAGTGACCGAAAGGATGCTTCCGCCAGGAATTCCGCCGGCCCCGTCACTATGGAACTGCCCACTTATTAGACTGACCACATGACTTTCCCAAGATAACGAGCGGGAGCTCATGCGCGTTCACCCTTTGGAGGGGCCGAAGGGTTGAGAAAAAAACAAAATAAGATAAAATAAAAAAAAGACTGAAAAAAGAGAAGCTGAAGGCGCATGGCTCTCCGAATGCTATGTGCAGGTGGCTGATATGATATATGGGCCCGAACGAGATGCGGATACATTGCCAAGTAAGCAACAGCAAGCATGTGAAGTGGCAAGGTGGCTCGTAGACGAAGCTTGTGCTAGCTAGGAAATGGAACTTGGTGATCGTGATAGTCGTTGTGGACACCCGAGGGTGGGCCGACTGGGCTCTACTGCGGGGAGCGGCGGTTAGGCTCGAGTTGCCTGCCGACGTGGTTGGTCGTGGGGAGCGACGACTGCACCCTCCATCCACATGGCCGTCCAAGCACTGCGGGGAAACGAGACGCACTAAGCCTTTTACGGAACTAGCGCAAAGACTATCTTGTGGGAAACGCAGCTAAGACGTGCACTGCTGCTCCGATATTACTCTCCTGTCTATCATTCCTGCTTTCCCTACCCTCTCCGACCTCTTCAATCTTTGCCTATTGTTGTTAGTCTCCTGTCACACTACTTTGCTTCAGTTGCGATTCCCCCGCGAGAGAGTGATTCGCTTATCACGCCATTAACCCCGCTGACGTACGACACTCTGCGGACCCTGTCTGTGCGCCTAGTGCCATATCAATCATCCCACCCTCCTTGCCTTTCCTCTCTATACTCTTTGTTCCACTCTGCAAACCACCCACACCATTCTGCTCTGCTGTTACTAGAACATATACGCACGCACTCCATATACGTACACCATCACAAACTGATCAGCATCGCTCTCTCCAACAATGTCTTCCAACGACCGGAACTCACCTCCTCTCCACTCTCCAGACCCTCGTCGACGGGCCTCAATCACCAGCCAGACATTCCATGACCTGTTCGGTCGGTCAAACAGCATTGCAGGCATACCATCTGGTATACAGCAGTCCTCGGGTCCCATCACTACAGCTGCTGCCAACGCCCAGCGGCGAAGGCTCTCATTGACCACGATTGGTCTAGGGGCCTCGCCTGGCCAGACCTCGCCCTTCCTCCCAACCCCGCGGACCCGCACTGAGAGTATCTCTAGCGCTAACTCTGGTTCTGTCGACGAGAGTCCTTTTGAGGACGACTTCGGTCCTTCGGCCAGCAGCAACCCAGCAACACCATTTGCTCGGCGGCTGAGCTTCGGAGCTCGTGCAATGCGGGACGTCAGGCAGGGCAACGGAGGCGTTGGGAACCCAAATGGTAGACCACCCATCATCCATAAAGCTTCCTCTCCCCCGACTGGTCGAGGTCGAGGTCTGTCTTCATTGTCACAGTCATTGCCCTCATCCTCTTCACTGCTCCGCCCCTTTACCCATTCCCACTCACGGCGATCCACGTCCATTTCGTACATTTGGCCATCAACTATTGCGGAACATGCCGAGACTGTACTTGGAAACTACTCGCTAACGTCGTCTTCAACAGGCGAGGGCTACAATTTCGCTGAGAACCTCCGATCACGAGCCGAGCGGGGATCCATTTCCGGCCCCCCTTCGACGCTGGGTATGGCTGCCCCGACGCACCACCGTGCCAAGAGCGTTACAATCATGGAGCCTCCAGTTCGTGAAATGCCCAAGCCCAAGGTTCCCGATGCCATGCAGGAGCGGATCCTCAAGGGTGACTTTTACATGGACTAGACTATGCACAATTGTTTGCCCTTCGATATCTCCGGTAGGTTCTCCGGTGTGATTCTAACAAGTGCGCAGTGACTAACTTCTGTCGTCACTAGGACCATCTACTTGACAGATGAGACGTGAGGATGAATCCGCGACCTTGTACCACTACTCTTCCATCTGTGTAAACGAGTATCTTATGTTCCAAGATCCTACTCGCATCTAGCTTTCGTACCGCCCATCTTTCACGAGCGGTTAAAACGGTTCTAGCAATTGTTCTGAATTGATACAAAGAGGCCTGCAAATACGCACACGCAGAGGAAACCCTAATTTGCTGGACCCCGGTCACGACATACTTTCGGCTGCTTCTTCATACATAAATATGCAGCCCCTGTTCGGTGCTTACCGTCGTTTGAACATTATCCAAACTGTTGAGATGGCTAGGCTTAGCTGTCATGACTTTCATGCCTTCACCTCAGGAGGTTTGTCCACCGGGCCCATTTCCCACGACATATCTTCCAGGCGTATTGACTATTATTACGATATTTCGCTTCATGTTTGTTTCCTTTCACATGCGTAGGCACTTGGCGTACGGGTTTTGGAAGATGGGAACCAGATTGTTAAGCTGACACAGTGTGTTATGCATTAGTGCGGCAGGAACTCTGGAGTTGACATACATATCACACGCATGGTAACAAGGCATATATCGCCCGGTATGGAGCATTGTAGTATCTACAGAAATTGTGGAAAATTGTCAGGACAGTGTAGTACAGTTCAAGTATCACATGAATTACAATTGGTATGATTACGTGTGAATGTATATGATGTACCGTGCTACGTACATAATCTAAGTACAGGTGTACGTACATACATACGTAGGGCCAGTCCCAAAGTGGTATGCTGACACGCGTAATCAGTCCCACTTAATTTTTCACATAAGCTCATGACAGGTGGTCATCAGCGTGGGATGGTGGGTACAGGTGTGGCAACACGTCGATCATATGTCGGCCTTTTTTTTTTGAACCGCAGCATGTAAGGACACGGAAAAATGTAATGAGGTTTACCATGGTTTGCGTCCACATACAAAATACCCGCACGTCACAGTAGCAAAAAAAAGAAGAAGAAAAGGAAGGAAGCCCCAAAATAGTAGTTTGGTCGATCAAAGTTGCGCACATTACGACTCCATATACATGCAAACTACATGAATTGAACATGAAAGAAAATACGAAGAGAAAAAAAAACAATAATTGAAATATTGATAGGAAGATGCTCTCGTATCGTATATCATATATCGTATATCGTATCGTTTCCCCTCTTTGCTCCTCCTCCACTCTCAAGAATCCCAATCCTTCACAATGCAGTCATGGTATAGTAACCCTCTCTTTCCTTTGCGCAGCCAGAACAAAAAGAAAAGGAATGACGCCGGTGAAATGCTTTGGATACACACATGACAAAAAGGAGAGAGAGAGAGACAAACTCGCTGGAAGACAGGAACCGTATTTTGATGCCGCTAAACAAGGGGAGGAAAGCAAAACGTTCAAACAAAACAAAGCAGAGATGGAAGAAAAAAACAACAATTGCAAAAAAAGAAGGAAATATCTGAATCATATCTCATCTCGTCTCATCTCCTTTCCATCTCATCCATTCATACATGAGAGAGTAAAGTGCGTCTCTGTGAACTTCCCCACGCCCACCCCACATGCTAAAAGAATGTGCAATCTTTGTTGCCCGAACGCCGGTAGAGCAGGGGGGAAAGAAGGAAAAAAGACCATGTTTTCTTTTCTCCTTCAACAATAAAGTGTGCCTTTTTAAATAAGAGGGCCAGCCATCATGGGACTCATGTTCCTCGTATTGGC